TGGCAGCACCTGCGCAGGATAAAGATGATGCCAGGGGGGTTCTGAGGTGCTCAGGTTTGGGCTGAGTAATGTTGCAGAGGTGATGCAGCAATGAGAGAGCCCATATTTGATTTTCATCTTGGAACGTTGTGTACAGGACTGGATTCCCCTGCTCTGCCCCAGCCTGCATTTGGGGGCAGGGACGCTCTCATCCCTCCCACAGCTGTTCCTGCAGCCCCTGGGTGTCACCCCAGGTCCCCCACTGCTGCTGCCTCCGCTCCAGGCTAAGGCAGTAACACTTTGGCACGCTGAGCACTGACCCATCTTTTGCCTTGTGCGACTCCTTCACTGGTGCTGCTCCAGCTGGGAACAAGTGGTGGACCTGACCTACACCGTACGCCTAGGAGAGAAGCCCAGACTCGCAGACCAGGATGAGGCCGCGGTGCAGAAGTTTCGGTATGAGTGCATATCCTAGAGTGGTACTGCAGCATCCCAAGGGGTGGCCAGCTGGGGCCTGGACATGCCTGCAGGGCCAGGACTGGCTTCATGGTTGGGAGTGGGGAGGGTGGGTGCCGTGAGATGCCTTTTACATTGATACCGTTTGACACTGCTCAAGCAAAGATGACCTTTGCTCTACAGAGCATCGGAGCGACTGCGTGGTGCTATTCCCACTGGGCTGGGCTGGCCATAAACACCCGGCGTGGTGGTGGTGAGATATAGCTGTGCCATCTGCCTGTGGCGGGGACAGCTGCAGAGCATCGTCCCGATGTGATGACCATGAGATGCAACCAGTCCAAGCTGGGGAGCATGCACAGTGCTGGTGGGCAGGTTTGGGGTGCAGCCTGGTCTCCCCATCTTGTTAACACGGACCCCCCTCTGCCCCCCAGGTCTGTACCCCCAGGCTGGAGCTACGAGCACGACGTGGAGCTGGGGCGGTTCCTGTATGATCACAGTGAGAGGGAGCTGCAGCACAGGGACTGCACCAAGGAGCACCTCAGCAGCATTGAGGTCTCCTCGCAGCTGGTGCGTAGCAGGGGTCCTCCGCAGCTTAAGACACACAAGCATCACTGCAGCTGTGGGGAGGAGCAGCTGGCGGTGGCTGTCCTCTCTGCGAGGGGTAGGGGATGGTGATGGGGTTTTGCTGCTCTAGCGAAGCTGCCAGGAGTTGGGCATCTGGAGCAAAACCCCATTGTGTCTCTGGGGTTCCGTGTGAGGGGTCTGTGGCCATGCCCAGCTTGCTCTATGTGGGATCCACCATCTACCCAGAGCCTAGTGAACCGAGGGGCTGACCTTCTCTGGTCCCACAGGACCCCTGTCCCAGGGGTGGCCATGGCATGCCCAAGGATGCTCAGCTCCCTCCCTCCACTTACTGCACTCTTGCAGGAGGACTTCCGTGCAACCCATCTGACAGACAACCAGACACACAGCTTCTGGGAGAGCAACGGGCCCCGGGGGCAGCACTGGGTGCGGCTCAACATGAAGAAAGGCACCATTGTCAAGTGAGACCTCAGGGTGTCCCCTCCCTGCCAGCTGCTGTGCCAGGGACAGGCAGGGTGCAGGGCAAAGCACCATCTTCCTCCTCAACGCAGCTTTCCCTGGGCTGCAGCTGGAGGCTCGGAGTTGAGGTGGGAGGCATCTGCTGCCAGATGCCTGCCAGGAGGACACAGCCTTACCCCCAGCCCCAGGACATCTCTGGGGACATCTCTGTGCCCAGGCAGCTTGGAAGGGGAGGTCAATGCTGCCCCTTGCTCTTCTCATCACCAGGAAGCTGTGGCTGGTGCTGGATGGGCAGGCCAACTGCAACTCCTTTGTACCCAGGCGGGTGGCTGTGTATGGGGGAACACTGAACAGTATGCAGCACCTGAGAACCGTCCTAATTAACGAGTGAGTAATGAGTGAGGAGCAGCCTGGATCCGGCTTGGGCCAAAATCCCAACCTGCCTCTGCATCCCGAGCAGATGCTAAGGAAAGGGCTGGGGTTGGTCCTGAGTGACCTGGTGGTGATGGTGGCTCTCCGTGGGTCGGGACTCCCTGGGTGCAGGCTACATCTGTCCCCACAAGTGTGGCAGTCCCCCACCTCCATATGCCAGCCAAGCACCTTCATCTCCGCTCGTGCTTCTCATCCATGCTGCGGCAGCTGGGCTGCAGTGTGCTTCCTCCTGCCTGGTAACTCTGGGGCTCTTTCTGCCTCCTCCTCCTCCTCGCCTCTGCCACTGCCGTCACCTTTCTGAGCACTTCTGCTCTGCTGTAGCCAAGAAGACCTGGGGTGCTTCACCTCTCCCTCTTCACCCTGGCTCTGCAGCACCCTTCTCAAGGCAGGCAAGGGTTTACACAAGGATGCGAAGATCTCCTCCTCCTTCCCCACAACTTGCCTATTTGCCTTTTTTTGGCTGAGCAGTGAGTGTTGTCTTCGAAGAAGCACCTGTAAGAGCTCAGAGGTCTCCCTTCCAGTGGCAGGAGCCAACTCCTTGCTATGTCTGGGCAGTCGCAGTGGTTTTTTTCCATGCGCCCATAGGTCTTTGACAGGACCTTGCCAAAAGCTTTGGAAACACAAGCGAATCACTTATCAAATTGCTGATCTCCACAAATCCCTGTTTCTTTCAAAACACATCACTCTTGTGTGACCATCTCACCTTGAAGGACGGTTATGCCATTGTGAGATGCGCCGGGTCCCCCTGGGAACAGCGATGCACTCTTGGCCGTCTCGCCTGTATGTTCTGCTTTGAATTTATACTCTTTTCTGGCTCTTTGGATGCGGCTTCCACCTTCTTCAGGATGTCTCTGTGCTTCTGACAGCTTCTTCTCTCCACTCGGTCCCCTTCTGCTGCAGCCCCGGTGAAGCAGGGGGGCTTTCGCCATGGGTAGCAGCGCATCCTCGCCTGGGGAGCTGGAGTGGCCTGCGCCTCGCCGGCCACTTTGCCGGTGTCTGTGCCTCCTGGCTCTGCCATCTCCCTCCATGCTGTGTGCAGGAACAGCTTCCGTGATGTCTGCATCCTCCGCGACATGAAGACCTACCTGCCGGTGCTGGAGATCCGCATCCTGGAGTGCCGGGGTGAGCCTGTGCTGCCGGACCGGGACTGACAGCCCAGCCTGGCCCTAAACCTGCAGTCGGTCCTGGCACCTGCAAGTCTCCCTGCCATACAGGTGGCTTTTTGGGGTCCATTGGAGGAAAAGCTGTGGAATGAGCTTCATTTGGAATGCTGCAGGCACTGGGGGGTCCTTGCCCCCGATTGCAGCATCTGAGCTGTGCTAGCCACACAGCTGCAGGCGCGCACACAGCATCTCTGTTCTTTCTTGGCAGACCAGGGGTACAATGTCCGCCTGCGAGGGATTAAGATCAAGTCCTTCTGGGAGTGGGACCTGATCCTTAATGCCGACATGTTCCAGAAAGCCCAGCTGGTGCGCTACCCTCTCCTGGAAGGGATGGATGCCGACGTGCTGTACCGGCGGGCCGTGATCATTCAGAGGTATGTAGGGCACAGCGACAGCACCGTCCCTGCAGCGAGCCCAGGCCCCAAGGGTAACCGTGCCCTGGCCTCTAGCAGGCAGTTGCATGTGTCTTGCTTAAAGTCTGCCGGCTCCTTTCTTCTGCATGGCAGGGACTTCGGCTTGCTGCCCCCCATCCGAACAGGGCTCCTTCCAGTGTCTGGGGAGCATGGTGGTGGCACAGGGTGAGGGGGACCTGCATCATGTGGAGTCCCCCACCCCGCTACCTGCAGGGCAGCCCCAGGCTGGGGTCAGCATTGGCCCCACAGAGAGACACTCTGCAGTAGTGATTCAGCTGCAGTGCTGCGGCGTGGGCTGGGCTGCCCTCGTTTGCAGCTTTTTCTTGGGGGGAACAAAATAAAGTGCTTGGCCAGAGGGTGCTGCTTGGGTGCTCCCCTTGGTGTGCTGGTGTCCCTTGGTGGGCTGGAGGGGACCCACGTGCAGGGAACATGGCGCCCAGGCTCAGTGCGTGGCCGAGGCTGTCTGCGGTGAAACACCATGGACGTGTTGGGCTCCGCACGTCTGCCGACCCCCTTGCATCCTCACGCTGCTCCTCTTCGGCCTCAAGGTTCGTCCAGCTCCTGGACAGTGTCCTGAGTTACCTGACCCCCCTCTCCGAGGACAGCATTGGCACCTTCGATGCACTCAGGGTGAGCGTTTGCTGGAGTCTGCTGAGATGCTGCCAGTAGGAGCATCTCATCACGGGCTCAGCTGGTCTCACTGGGGGCTGTGTTGTGTCCCCCTTCATCCGATGAGGACAGACCAGCCTAGGGCTCATGCTGAGACCTGCCATGCTGGGCATTGCCGGAGGGATGGAGGAGCTGAGTATCCCCTGCAACACCAAGGGCTGTGCTTGCGGAAGGGGAAAGAGGGCACACAGTGACAGGATCAGGCCTCTAAACATCACTGCTCCTCCCTTGCTAGAGCATGAAGCCATTCCTGTTGCTGTCGAAGCAGAGCACAGCCCTCATTGCCCACTGTCTCCAGTCCTCGGAGAGCCCCCACCCTAACTCCATGCCAAAGCTGTGCATCAACCGGTACCTGGCCCGGCAGCACCGCGCTAACCCTGCGCTGGACCCTGGCTGCAGGAACGCCGTCTTCACCCAGGTACGGCAATGCTGTGCCTCATGCCAGGTACCTGCCAGTTCAGCATCGCTTGCCCCACTGCATCTCATTCCGTTTCCACTCTGCTCCTCTCCAGCTGTATGAAGGCCTCAGATCTTCCAAGAACAATCAGCCCCTGGACTACAGGTAGGTCTTCAGCATCACATTTGTGGGGTGTCACCTCCCTGGAGCAGGGTGCGGGGGGATGCCAGGTGCTGCCGGCTCTCTTGGAGGAGGGATGTGCATGGGGCTCTTGCTTCCCCACAGGTGGCCCCTGAGCTACAGCCAGTGGTGGGAATGTGACTTCATCACTGAGGGCATCATCGACAACAGTGAGAGCTCTCCCCTCCTGCCCTAGGGCTCTCCCCTGGGCTTTCTCTTGTCAGAGTGCAGCTCGGTGGGTCGCCCGCTGTGGTGAGATGCCCACGCTGTCCCGGCTGGTCTGTGGGAGGCAGCCACTCTCCGGACACGGGGGGGGGGCGCGGCCGCGCC